GTTTTTTAAGTAATAGCATAAGATTGTGATATTATTGATATGGAAAAAATAATAATAAAAAAAAAAAAATTGGGAAGCGCATTTCATAATATATCAAAATACATAAATATTATTAATAGTGATTTTTAGTGACGTGAATGGATACACAATTAAATTATATATTTTTTGAGTCTAATTATATATGGGAATATAAAATATAAATAATATATCAATCTTAATATCCCTCTCTATTTATATTTTACAAGTCAAAGAGTCATATTTAGCTAATTTATAATCTTATATGTTAATTATACTCATAATCATATGTCTCATGTTTTTATGCTTAATTTACATAGATTTTAACTTCTTTTCATGGTAGTTAGGAGTAATTTAAAATTATAAAACAATCGTAAACATGAATATTAAGTATTTTTTTTTAAAAAATTAATTATTTTCCATTTTATTTTTTTTTCTTCATTTTTTCATATATATGTAAAATTAATTATTTTTTATGATAGTTGATTCGACATTCATGTTGGATATACCTAGATTTATAAATAAAAATGAAATTATCCAATCAATCAAAATTAAAATTAATTAACTATTACTAAATAAATTAAATAATTTTATTTGTAAACTCTATTATATGATACGAGTTGAGAAAATATAGAACGATTGAGTCATACACGAAGCATCATTTTAAATAATAATATAAATACTTTTTTAAATGTATCTAAAAATTACAATAAATAACTTAAATATTCTTCATTTTCTTTTCAAACATAAAATTTGTAATTAACATCAGTATGATACAAGTTATTGTTCTACCACTACTATATAAGACTATATTTGGTAGACAAATAAGTTAGTTTGTAACTTATTTGCTTGACTTATAAGCTCCATGTATTCAATCAAGCTCCGTTTGATAGAACGAGTTTATTTAAAAGCCCGAGCTTATTTGATAACATTCTCTGATTATATTTTCAAATAAGCTCGTTGAAATTTTTATTTTAACTAGTTTATCAACTAATTTTTACCAAACACTCTTATCATATAAGTTAGCTATAAGTGATAACTATAAGTTATAAGTTTAAAAATGACTGATAAACTATAAACTAACTTATAAGCTATCAACTTATCATAACTTAAGAAACAATGTTATCGCAAACTTTCACTTCACAAATTACATTATTCAATTTATTTGCATCATCTTCTGTAATATTAAATAACTAATTATTATAAGCAACAACTCCAACTTATTTGCATCATCTGTCACAATTTCGCAATTATTGTAATTTTTCCAATTTTGAAGAATTTTTCCCTAAAATTATGTCCCCACTGTAAATGTGGCCCACCCTTTTTTCATACGCCGGCACACAGCCAATTATTAAACAGTAGAGAGTGGAAAAAAAAAAAGGATTTTAATATTCGCATTTGAGTTTCTCTCTCCACGCCATTTTTTTTTTTGTGTGGACGCAGTCGCCGGAGCTCTGTTTCTTCTTCTTCTTCTTCGTCTTCCTCTTCGTGGATCTAAGAAGAAGAAAAAAAAAACACATTAATCTGAATCTTTATTTCTGTTAATTTATATGTTCGTCATCGAATTTTGTTGCCTTAACGCCGTTGGTGTTTCCGATTCTGGTTTTTTGAAGTGCGAAAACTAGTCTCATTTTGCGGTGGTTGCTGCTGAGTAGGAGCTTTTGTTCTGAATTTCATGGTGTGTGTGTGTGTGTGTGCGTGTTTGTATGTGCGCTTGTGTATATATGAAGTGAAGTAGTGAGTTAATTATCCGAGTTAGCTAGGTTTTGTATGGGAGCAGGGTTTTTGACCTGCTATCGTTGGTTTGGACTTTGGATATAGGCCCGGGCTCGAGGCTCGGGAACAGGAAGTATGGTTATGGAGAAGGGAATTCAGGCTCAGGATGTGGAATTGAGCTGCGGTGGTGCAGGCGGCAGCTACTTGCAGAAATTCAGACTCTATGAAACTCGCTCGGTATATATATGTTTGAGCTCGTTAGTTTTTTAGCTTGTTTGCGCGTGGTTTGATGGCTTTGTCTTGTTTCGATTGTGTTTGATGTATAGTTGCAGTGCTGAAAGCTTGCTTGAAGCCATTAGTTTAGGTCCATTTATGATTTAACTTGTATGGATTTGAATTCATGAATCGCATAGAGTAGATTTCGATCTCATGAAGTGTGTGTAATGCTCGTAGATGAAATGTAATTACAGAAAAAATTTATTTATTCTCAGTAGCTCTACTTTGTCTTATTTGTCACTCTTCTTTGCTTTTTGCTTTTTATGTAAATTGGCGGTGACAAGGATGGATGAAAGGTGATTTAAGACCCTTTTTCATATCATGAATTTGTTAATTTTGTGTGACTTTACGTCGGAAAATATGATTTTTACTGATTGCATCATGCTGGCCAGATTTAAGCGCAACATTTATAAAATTCTCTTCAGTGAAGTAATTAAGAAGCTATGATAAATCCATCATGTTGAGGTTAGGGTTGGATCAGTTGTGTGTAGGGATGTGGTGGTGGCAGAGGTATCTAGAAACTGTTTTGACAAATGTCGAGAACCCACAAAAGTACAGACTGTACACGCATTTGTGCTTCTAAACGTTTCGTCATGTGCATTGAGCGTTTCCTAAAACGTCACGTTCGTATCTAACCGGATTGAGTGCATTTTAGAATTGAGTGTCTGTTGCATTAACTGCACTTTAGATTCTGAATGCCACCTTGTCAATGGTTGTCAGTGCCAGATGTACTGGGAAATTCTGAACAGACAAAATCAAGTATTGAATTTTCTTCATTTATTGTAAATCAGTAAACCCTATGGACTTTTCCTGCCTCTGATTTTCGAAATCCGTCAATGGTTAAACGACTATTTGCTTTTATGCAGAAAGATCTTTAGAATACCTCTCATAGATACCCTAGATGCATGTTGAACACTGGTGGTCCTCCAATACTGCTAGTTACGTGTTTACGTCGCGTCCTCCTCTCAATCGCTCTGCACTTTCATGATTCTTTCTTATTCATCGTATTTCTGTTTTCCTTGAAAAAGGCATAAAAAACTTGACGTCAATGCAATTTTTTTTTTCCTATTTTTACGATCATATGATTTATAAATTTATTTTTTTGTAGAACTTCTATATGATTGGACGAGACAAGAATAGAACATGTTGGAAGGTCTTGAAGATCAACAGATTAGAACAATCCGAGCTAAGTGTCATTGAAGATACTACAACATATTCAGAAATTGAATGCTACGACCTGCTGAAAAGAATTCATGAAGGAAACAAGTCTACTGGTGGACTGAAGTTTGTTACCACTTGCTACGGAATTATTGGTATGTTATATCTTTGTGATTACCTGCACCAGCTAATTAATGATGTTCAGAATAGTTTATGCACTTTCTATTTCCCCTGACTTCTCTCTCTATTTCTTCAATTTTGTGACCGCAGGATTCATAAAATTTTTGGGACCTTATTACATGTTGCTTATCACTAAAAGAAGAAAGATTGGCACAATATGTGGCCATGCAGTATATTCAATCGCCAAGAGCGAGATGATTCCTATACCAAATCCTTCTCTGCACACAAATGTGGCTTATTCTAAGAATGAGAACAGGTGTTTTGCCAATTCTGCATGTAATGTGAAGTGTTATAATGAGAGGACAGAACATAGATTAGATATGCCTTTTATTTCTCTTGTATCTCATATCATTTGTCATAAATCAATTGTACTTGAGCTATTTATTTTTTATTTTTTGGTTATATCATTTTCGCCAATCCAGCTCTCTGGAGGTATCTTCTATAGTCGTTGACAACACCATTCAGCGAATGTCATTTGTCCGAAGTTAATGATTCCGTACATGTAATAGAACTTGCCTGCAATAGTGAGGCAAAAGAAGATATGCATCGATCACAATTTGTATTAGGGATATTAATCACCTATCTTAGTGCATCTTCGGTAGTTAATCTGTTCTTAGTGCCCGTGCCTTTATTTCCTAGCAATGGTGCAGGGGCAAACCACATTGGTGTTGTGATGTTTATTTATGTTGAATGAGACAAGGTATCAGCAGTGTTTCTGGGGCATCTATGCCTTTTGTTTTCATGTTATATGTTGCTGGGTTTGTTTAACAGTTTTCGATTGGACTTGCATTTACTTGTTGCTCTCCCTTTTCTCGTGTTGATAATTAGATACAAGAAGCTTTTACGAACAGTGGATCTTACCAAGGACTTCTATTTTAGCTACTCCTACCATGTTATGCATAGTCTTCAAAAGAATCTAAGCAATCACGAAACAGGATTAATCCTCTACGAGACCATGTTCGTCTGGAATGAGTTCTTAACTCAAGGGATTCGTAATCAGCTCAAGAATTCACTTTGGACTGTGGCATTGGTGTATGGATTCTTTAAACAGGTAATTACTAATAAAATTTGTCTATAGAGAATATGTACCTTGCTAAGCCAGATTTTAGTATATAATTGTTTTATCGTACACGTGGCTTCACATTGTATTTGTATTTTTGTCGTAGTGAACCATCAATGATATAATGAGGCTCCTTTTTTTTTTTTTTTTTTTTTTTTATTTTTTTGTCATAGGCATCTTATGCATTATATTCACATATTCTTCTCTTGAAATGTTTTAGCAACTTCTTTCTGTGTGACTAGGGTGATCGTAATGCAATTTTTTTTTGGATTTTAAACAGGTTAAACTTTCAATATCCGGGCGTGACTTCAATCTAATTCTTATTGCCAGAAGATCTCGTCACTATGCTGGAACAAGGTATTTAAAAAAAAATCTTTGTAACTGCTACAGATACTGTGATGGTAAAAGCGTGTCAGTTTTTTTAGCTAAATTTGATTTTACTCCCCTTGCTTATATTTGTTAGTCATCACTACTTTTTTTTTTTGGGCGCATTACATGAACACTGCACATCATGTGTATTTTATAATGTGTTGCTCTTGAAAGTCTATTCACCTATTAGAGCTACTGGAGTTGAAGACCTGTATTACTCTTATTTATACTAAGACATTGGCTTCTCGCTTGTTTCCCTTCAGATACTTAAAACGGGGGGTTAATGAGAAGGGTCGTGTTGCAAATGATGTTGAGACTGAACAAATAGTTCTTGAGGATGTAGCGGAAGGAAGTCCTATACAAATATCTTCTGTTGTACAGAACCGGGGTTCAATACCTCTCTTTTGGTCACAGGAGACTTCGAAACTGAATATCAAACCTGACATCATATGTAAGGCTTGTAACACAAATGCTTAATTATATGTTCTAGCAGTTCATACTTTCACCGACTTTGTTTCTCTGTCAGTATCAAGGAAGGATGAAAAGTATGAAGCCACCAAACTTCACTTCGACAATCTAGTCAAGAGATATGGGAATCCGATTATCATATTAAATTTGATTAAGGTATACTTTTGTATTGATGGATGGGCTGACACTGCCAACTTGTCATATTCTTCCTCAACATCACATTCTCCTGATGTTTAGTGTTCCATTTGTCCCTATTTAATCTGTCACCTGTCCTTGATTGGCAGACACGTGAAAAGAAGCCAAGAGAATCTATTCTCCGTGCAGAGTTTGCTAAGGCTATTGAAGTTATTAATAAAGACCTTGCACATGGAAACCGCTTAAAGTTCCTTCACTGGGATTTGAGTAAATACTCTAGAAAGTATGGATGGCACTTTTCCGTTGTTTCTGTTTTCCCTCCTTTTCATTTTTAATTATGGGGACTTAAGTTTACTTGTGTTTGTTACAGCAAAGCAGCGAATGTGTTGGCATATTTAGTCAAAGTAGCAGCTAATGCTTTGGATTTAACTGGCTTCTTTTATTGTCATGTGCTCCCGTCTTCGAGGTGAGGAATATGGAAAAGATGATCATAAATGACTGACCAAACCTTTTCGCGATAGCTTGGTTTATAGAATAATAAAATAAAGTATTGTCTATCATCCGCAGCACATAACTTTCACGTTTGCCCAAATAACGCTACCGATTTGATGGTCTCAAGTTCTGGCTTCTTGGGATTTAATATAATATGTGCATTTTTTTTTTTTTTTATCTATTTGACTGAGAATTACCTCGTATAGCATTACAGTTGAGTCCCGTACTCCCTGTTTCTGCGCACATTTTGTAAATTATCGTTCATGTATGTAACCAACTCTAATTTGGTTTATGTACATCACAATCTGATAGTCTCCTTCTGGAATTTTATATATAAATAGCCGTATCATAAACCCTGGCACAATCAAATGTTATTACTAATTTTTTATTAGTTTCATACTCTTTTCTAGAGCTTGGAATGCACAAATGTTGGTCCTATGAACAAGCGTACCAAATTTGTTACTTTCCTGTCTTAGTTAATTACCTTTGTCACCTTTCAACTCTTACAGCCAACTCCCGTGCAGCAACAACTGCTATGGGGATTGTTCTGATGAGGACCTTTCCAATGTGACTGAGGATATTCGCGAATTGACTGATAAAGATAAGATTAGTGAAGTGGGTGGAAGCCATTTTGTCAAGCCTCCGGTGTTCCAAAAAGGGGTTCTGAGAACGAATTGCATAGACTGTTTGGACCGCACAAATGTGGCTCAATACGTCTATGGGCTGGTTGCTCTTGGCCATCAGCTGCATGCATTAGGATATATTGCTGTTCCAAAAATAAGCTTAGACTCTGCTTTGGCTGATGATCTAATGAGGACATATGAAGCTATGGGCGACACACTTGCTCTACAATATGGTGGGTCTGCGGCCCATAACAAGGTACCCTTAGTTTTCGAAGAAGTTAGTGGGTGTGATTAGTCTTTAAAATTATCTTTTCATTTCTTCTCAACGTCAGAAATTTAGGCCGTGCTTGTTTACAAAACAACTGGAAAAAAAACTGTTTTTTTTTTCCTGGTTTTTTGTGTTAATAACTGGAGTTTATTTGGAAAAAGTTCGTATGATTAGTTGTTAGTAGGATTTTAAGAATGTATTTAAATAGTATTTAAAGTAAAATGACTAAAATTGACTTGATCTAAAAGTAGGAGACAAGTGATTGGAAATGATAGGTAGTTAAAATTATGTGATGGATGAATAGTGAATTAAAGTTGATGTGATGTGTAAGAATGATATTATTTAATTATATTGATAATATTGAGGATAGTGGGTTTTAGAATTAAAGTTGAGTTAGATTTTGAATTGAGATAGATTTTTTTCTAGTTTTTTTTTAAGCAAGCAAAGCCTTAAGGATACCATTATATCCGAGTACATGAGAATATGTATGAAGTCAATATTGCCCTCTTTTACATCCACATATAGCATAATTTGTCTTTCCTAACTCGTTGTCTGATTCAGTATATAATTCTTATTTGATTTGTGCTTACTGTTATTGTGTTCACTTTCCTCTTTCTTGCTCATTTGGTGTGTATATTAAACAGATATTTTCAGAGACAAGGGGTCAGTGGAAAGCAACAACCCAGTCTCAGGAATTATTTCGAACCCTTCAACGTTACTATAGTAATGCCTACATGGATGCTGAGAAACAAGACGCCATAAATGTGTAAGTCAACTGGACCTCTTAAAATTTTTATAAATAAATAGATCTTTCACTAGAGTGCTCGAGTCCAATGTTTTTAATTTTGGGAAAAAATAATATGGTTCATTATCCATGAGCAGGTTCCTCGGACATTTCCAACCACAACAGGGAAAGCCTGCTTTGTGGGAGCTGGATTCTGATCAGTATTATGATGTTCGAAGCCGTGGTTCTGATTTTGCAGAAGAAAATGCTAGGTAACTGTGACACGCGCACATATCATGTTAGAATATAGGTTACTTCTGACTTAAAAAATGAGTATGATTTCCAAAAACCGATGAGATCTATTTAATAAACTAATGAAGACCATGAGAAAAGTTCTTTACAAAATGCTTGCTCAGTGAAAGGTGCAACGAGGCTTATTTATTTAACATCTGGTGAGATTTTTTGGAGATGCCATAAATTTTGTGTGATTTTGTTATGCATTGCTGATTGGAGGTGGAAATCTGGATTTGCAGGTCAATAATTAAAAGGTCACTATCTGATGGCAATATCCTTTCTGAAGACAACTCGTCTATAGACGATGCAAAGGTTATACAAATGGATAATTCTCATATAACACTGCCTGTTAAGATTAAAAGCTGTAATTTGGGGCTTTCGGATTCAACTCCAGAATTTTCAACTTGTGACAGTGATGCATCTTATTCCAGGTAAAGGTTTAGTACCCCTATATTTAAAATAGCTGTAAATTTTATAAATTACTTCCTGTTGTATGATAAGTTGGATACTTGATGAAGGATGAAGATTATGCTAGACATAGCACTTATTATTTTGCGGTAACAATTTTCCTTAAGTCACACCTTTTCCCTAAGATCATGCAGGTGCTTCTCTTCCTGCTTTGTGTCGAGTGATAATATTTCTCTAGTTAAGAAGTACTTGCTAAATTATGAAGCTTGCAGGAAAATCGATGTAGCATTAGGATTTCCACTGTAGCATAATATTCATCTCTTTTACACATGTTCAATTGCTCACTTCTAGAAAAAGAGCGAGCCTTGTTGTGCTGTCTTCACTAGGCTTTACTTCTGATAATTTTGCACACTTCATTGGTTGCTCTTTCTTTAGGTACACTCCCTCAATGTCACGTACACGGCTTTTCCATGATTCACAGCCAGTGAGGTATCTTCAAAACGATAGCACGTATTATGTTGAACGCGGTGATTCATTCAACTGTTCAAATTTTCTCGACGTTGATTGGATTTCATCATCTGGGAATTCTTGTGAAGATGAAACGTTCGAAAGGTAAATATTGTAAAGCCTTCCATTTAATCATGCCACTAAGTTTTTCAAGCAAACCGTTCTGCAATTTAAAAAATGTCAGTACCTACTGCTGCTTAAGATGTTATTTATTTAATCGACATTTACTGAGCTATTTGTGGAAATGTGCCAGCTATTTGAATGGACTTTTGTTCTGGGGATTGATTTTCTTAATTCTCTTCTTTTGTGGTTTTAGATCATTGCTTATTGGGTCTCCATCGGTTGGCATGTCGTCGGGAGAGATAAAAATGGAAACGAACTCATCATCTTATCAGTCTGGATCCAGCTTGAAGGTAGAATTTTCTCCTCTTTCTTTTGTTTTCTTTTTCCGAAAATTCGAAACTGGTGTTTTGGGAAGTTCTTATATTTGCTTAACTAGTTGAACACTTAGACTTTGTTTTTTTTTTAATCATCCTAATTCCATTTTTTTTTGTTATTAACAAATTTTCCAGGGGAAGGAAATGGCCAGCGGCGAACTCAGCTGTTGTGGTGCTGCCAGTAGCTCGAACGACCTTTTGGGTTTTTCTGAAAGATTCGTGCACTGGGTTCATGGAGACGTGCTTTTCCCATGATGTTTACTTGAACACACTATAAGCTAATCAAATACAATCGCTCCTGCCATATTTTAACTGACAAGTCGGCCCGTAAGGATGCTGATGATTGACCCGAAAATAAATGGCAAAACAGATGATATTTGGAGAAGAAAATTTGTCAATGCTGATGAATGACCCGAAAATAAATGGCAAAACGGATGATATTTGGAGAAGAAAATTGTCAAGAATTTTTATGCAGAGGATAGATACTTATCAAATGGACAAATGATTTTAATCTTTTCTCAGATTGTACATTTGCAGAAATCTGAGAGAACTAATAGCTATAACTATTATTTTCCTTTTCCATCTTGGTCTAATTGATCCCTTGTCCAGGTTACAATTTCGGTATTTTTTTTTTTCGACCCTGTAAATATATTCCATTAGGTACTTTTTACTTGGGATATTATCTTTTTGGTATCATGTAATATAGTAAATAAGATAATAATTCTTTATGGTCATTTTTTTAAT